CTGCAGGTTCTCTAAGAAGCCGCCCAATCAGAGACCGCTAGTGTATTATGCACCGTACACTTTCTCCAGTGCACGAATCTTGCACCGGTGGAGGAAAAAAGGAATTAGCTGTCTGCTAGGTTAACTTACAGGTCTCCCAGAACGACGCATTTTCTGCACCGGTCCTGTACTGCAGCTGGTGCACCGGTTAGTGTTCCCAGAACGCGCCAATGTTTTACAGCACATTATGAGATGCTGTCCACATTATACTACAGCTGTTTTCTGTATACTTCAGTGGAAATTAAACTGCTGATTAATGATTGGACAGCATTTCATATGTGTGGTGTAAAACAATGTTTTTGGTAAGTGTTGTAGTAGGCCTATTGTGGAAATGGCATTAATTTACACAAATTGTGACTAGGCCTACTTGATTAGCCTATTTATTATTCTATTTAGCCTATTTATTATTCTATTAAGGTAAATAAGTTGTCGTTTGATCCGGCTTTTAATTGTGAATTTTTATCTCTCTTAATATTTTACTGCTGTACCGGTGTCCATGGAATTTGACATTAACACCTTTAAACTACCTATTTGGGTACACATTTATACCAAATTATAAGCTTATATCTGAGATAAATCTTGAATTATGAAATAAAACAAAAAACACATAGTTACAGATAGACATAAGGAAAACTAGTCACCTAAGGAACACTTTTATATCAAATGTCTCAGAGAGTTCCGGTATACCCTATTGTATAAAACTACAATGAATACGTAATGATAAGATTAAATTACGATTTCTAACAGATGCATTTAATTTTATACTGATCCGAATCAGAAAATCGTATAAAAACACTATAATTACAAACCACCTTCCAACAAAAGTAACAAAACCCAACTCTCAAACGGTGTAACATTTTTACCAATAATAGTGTGCTAACTGCTTTGTGCAACTGAAAAGGGAAACGTTTACTTTGGGTGTTGAGGATAGGCCTGGCTTTCACTGATAGCACCATTCTTCACAAAACGCTGATTTTTGAAATTAGTGACGTTTTCAAGGTCAAAATGAACCGAAAATAGCAAAGGGGTTAAAGGTCGTGACATTTAGGCAGGAAACACACTAGTCCGACGCTCTCCGATCCGATCCGACAAGTCTCCGACGCCTTCCGACAGAATTACTTTGCAAGGCTTTAAATTGACTGTAACCTACTAGTCCGACGCTCTCAGCTCCGATCATTTCCGATCCAACACCTTCCGACGACATTGCTCTCTGGGGCATTGTTGTCGGACGTCGGATCCGAGTTTTCTCCAGTTTGCGTGCACGAAGCCTATGTCAAGCTTTGTGTGTGACATGAGTGTAGACAAACTTTTGATTGAAGCAGGTTGGGAGTATCATTTTCTTTATACAGTAGATAATAAAATCAGCCTGGACATATTTCAGAGATTTTATGGATTCGAGTGTGGTTCTTAAATTATTGTGGACCAACTATTATAGAAAAAGGATTATGGGAATGAAGAGCCATTGGATGGACAAATAGAGACCTTTTTTTACTACTCCAGCAGCCAAAATAAACAAAAAACCTGAAACATCTAATTTCTCGTCGGTTACCGTACTGAGCCCATCAGGCCAATGGGTTATTGCCTTAAAAAGTGTGGAAGGCGTAGGATTGGATCGGAGAGCGTACATCTAGTAGGTGTCCTGCTTTAAAGGAAGGCGTGTGGGAGGTATGAGGGAAAATTTCCCAACAACACTGAGAGTCACATCACGCTAGTCGTATTAAATAAATCCAACAATACAGTAGTTTGTTGAGATTACTGTACAAAGTACAATAGAACAAAAACTACGCGTTAGTGGTGAAAGGTTATGTGCGCATCCCGCTCGCCACTCACTCTGACACGATCTGCACTTCAATCATTTGAGTTGATAGACCCAACACCCAATCCAATCAATCGTAAACCAAGAAGAAGTACATAAACTTGCGATGAAATGGCTTCGGGAAATTACAGCATAGTAAAAAGCTCATAACTACTTGTATCTTATACAGGGTGGTAAAAAAGTCCCAGGACAGTTAAATATTTTAAAAAATAATGCAGATAGAGCTACAATACTTGGTACAAAGTTACAGGGCATAAACCTCTATTTTAACACAAATTCAGTGATCCAATAACTCTTCAGGGAGACGGCCCACAAGGAGTCGGAAGAAAATCTTAAACGGAAGCATAGGTCAATATGCACATCAAATTAAAGGTCTTCACTACTTCACTTGTAGATTACGATGCCGTAAATTCAAGCTCAAGAGAATGCATGAGTAAAAAATGGCAGTCGTTAAAAGATTCAAAATGGCGGATTCAAGAAATCTTTGAACATCTGCGATTTTGCGCAAGATTAACCTTTCGAAGTACGGTTTGCGGCATTGTATTCTACTAAAAAAGACCTTTAATTTGATGTGCATATTGACCTATGCTTCCATTTAAGATTTTCTTCCGACTCCTTGTGGGCCGTCCCCCTGAAGAGTTATTGGATCACTGAATATGTGTTAAAATAGAGTTTTATGCCCTGTATCTTTGTACCAAGTATTGTAGCTCTATCTACATTTTTTTTAAATATTTGACTGTCCTGGGACTTTTTTACCACCCTGTATGTGTTTATAGTATTCATGACGATCTTCTATCAGTACAGTTTTCTGCTAGGGAGGATCTACAGTCATTGATACTATTTTGATATTAGTTGTTCAATTGTAATAGTTTTAAGTTGTGCTATTAATGTTACACCTGTAATCAGGTACAAATAATTGAACACATTGCTTGGTAAGCAATGTACCATGGTTATTGCCGATTTTTATAATTTTTCTGGCATAAGCCATATTTATGTGTGTATGCATACACTGCTTTGTTCAGACACTGTACCTATGAAGATATCTGTGGTCAATTTTATTATAGATTGGCAATGTGATGTTTTCATAATCATATCATCGTAATTTGTTTCAATACAACTAGAACTTAATTGGATCTAAATCTGAATCCAAGATGGCGTCGGGAATATAAAACAAACTATTCGCATCCGGAGGAAATGTTTTACGGGGTTATAAAAGTGGAAGACCTCATTTGCTTCCAGGAACTTTTTTGCCTGACGTACAAAATAACCTCTTCATTTTCTTTGCACTTAATTAAAGAACTATAAATCGCACACGGTTGAGGGAGCTTGTTTTTTATTGTCCTGTCATGTTCACCTTACGTGATATGCTTCACGAACATGGCAGAAACCAATCAAAAGTCGCTAGAAATCTCAAAAAATTAAGACACATCGTATTTTTAGAAATGTTTTGATCAAAGCAGCAATAATTTCAATCAAAACAATAAACGTGTTAGCTATTTTTTCAGAAGTAGGCATTTGGGTTGGAACTATTTGGGTCCTAATCTTGCTTGTGTCAGAGGTTCGTGAGTTGCAGAAAAATAAAAAGAAGTGAGTATCTACGTTGTTGTTGTTCAATTTGAAAACATGTTTTTAGAATTATCACATAATGAATAGCTGGAATGTTTTTTAACACTGAAACGTGTACAATTTTAGTCCAGTCAAAATATATAAATTAATGACCCAATCTCGGAAAAAATCTGAAAGTTTTGAAGCTTTGCATACCTATTACCTAGTATTTATACTTAGGCCTAGGGAAGATTATACCAAAAGTCCTCATAAATATGAGGCGAGATTTAGTGACAATTATCGAGGGCACCTTTTTTGGTTTTTGTCTAAAAATCTCGAGAATGGTTGGTCGGAATTCAAAGTGACCGTATACTAAATGACAAATTATTAAATTTTCAACAAAAAAATTATTATAAATTTTTTCTTGTATTCCTAATGGTTACCGAGTTATATGGCGCTAAAATATGTCGGGTTTTCTCAAACTGTCGGGGAGCGAACAATGGTGCAAACTAAAGGAGGTAGCCTACCTACCGCAGCTTTTCACCCAGATTTCATTGTCGTTTTGTAAACTTAATTTTAGGTAGCCGCAAGAGCTCGCTTCATATTTATGTGACTTTAGGTATAATCTTCCCTAGCTACCTAGAGATAAATGTGCAAAGTATATAAACTTATAAACTTTCGGATTTTCTCGGAGGTTAACCATCTTCTTGCCTAGACTATTAGGGTGGGTACTAGAGTTAATTTAATTTATTCATTGGATTTATTGGTCAATAAAACTACTGAAGGATTCCGCCTGAATTACTCGTTTCCAAAGACCTTTTTATGAATATTAATATTTTTAAGAGCCTCGGCACTTATTAAATTATTGGCCTTAGTTCAGTTTACTGCCTATAGACTTAAATGGCTGAATGCAGTAGTCGCATCGTTGACCGTGTATAATGATTGGCACAAATACATTTTTGTGAATCGTGTGTGTGCGTGTTAGTCTTAATCGCTTTTGTTCTATAACCAGGGAAATTATCTTAAAACTGATCATCCGCAGTTTGTCAAGGTACAGTATTCCAAAAAATAAAATAGTTATATAAGTAGAACTATTGTGACGATTGTAATAGACCTTTATTGTACATCACAAAAGTAATTATCATTTTGTTAGTGTCCTTTGAGAGTCAATTCATCCTATAAGAGTGTTTGTTTTTGTTGACCAGATACCCAAGTGGTTGTAGTTAGCCTTCATATCTAGATGTGGCTGATTCGATAACAAGCAGTATCGATTCAATTATCCCTTTCATCAATTACTGACACCATCTAACAAGAGGTCGACGTTAAGACCAGGATTAGGCCCGTTTCCTAAAAACATTATAAAAACCATCAAAACACACTAAATAGACCTCCTCAAAATGTGACCAGAATCCCAAACTAAACTCTGTTAATGGTCCCGGCTTAATATTATGCTAATAACTCATTTCGGATGTAAGCTCACATTCCGCGGTCCCGGGTTACAGTCCAATGGAGGGAGGGGGGGCAGCGAATCTCAGGACCTGGACCCGCTCTCTTCTCTTCTCGCATAACGGTATCCTCTCTCTCCTTCCTTGCAGTTTTTGTTTGTCGTCCCTCCTGTTCGCCATGTCACCATGAGTATGTCTCTTTGTCTATTTTCTTTGTACATTGTGCAAATAGCCTATTATTGTTTATCAATAGCTCCTTGATAGGCGCTTCTGGTTTTTCTGGTATGATTAAACTGGAACCTCTAGTGAGATGCTAGAACTCAGTTGAAATTCACTCGCAAATTTCGAGAATAGTTTGAAATAGTATGAATTGTGTTAGAATTGCTATAAATATATTTTAGTTTGGTCTCGGTAGTTATTCTAGTTCAGGAAGTTGTGGGTTTGATTGTACTGATTTCATTTCCCTCCCTTTTAAATTACAATGAACAATATTTTTATCAAATAGTGAAATATTATATTAATTCTATGAATCGCCTAACCAATCAAATTTATCTTCGAAACATTCAAATTCAAAATTAAATATATTTTACATATTAGTTCGAACAATATAAAATTTAATTCAAACTAAGCACGATTAAATATAAATAGATACAGAATCTTGTCCACCTATTATACTGCAGATATGTTAGAACTGATATGTCGTTGCAACTAGGAATAAATGAAGTGTTGTAACTAAACTAGATTAAAAGTGAAATAAATTAAGACCATTCCGAAATCTTGTTTATGGGACAACATACATTTATTATTCTTTTAGTGAACCTACTTCAAGTCAAGGCTATACTTTACTTAGTTTGTAAACGTAAATTATGTAAAAGTACTGTACAACTAAACTGAACTAAACTCAATATTGCCATACAGTTATATTTTCTATATTAGAGAATGACCTAATATAGAAAATCAATACTCAAGAGTAGACTACATGTTTGCGCTGTAAAATTGAACTTTTCGAGACTTGGTTTAAAATTATAATTGCTCTTCTAAATAAAGTATTGTTTTACTTGATTGAAAGTATTTGGTTTCAAACTTGAGGTTATACATATTTGAAAAGCATCATACCGGTAACGTTGCAATGAACTATTGTGTCTTAACGTAGTCTTTTATGAGGTCGCCAGGCTATTCACGCCCGTAACTTTAAACATAATAATTGTATAATACACCAAGCTTGGCCTCGCTTGTTCAATCACACAGTATATTTCATAATATTTTACAACTTAGGTTCTGATGACGTCGCTAGGTATTAAAAATGTTATTAGCAACAACATTTTTGTCCCATTTTGTGCCCGTATTTTTCAACATATCAATGTAATACAATATTATTTGAACAAATAATACTCTAAACTACTCGAAATGCTTTTTAAAATTTTGAAAAAAGACATAAAATAAGCGATATTAATATCCAAAGTTGATGATTTTCAGTTGACAATATAAAAAAACTATTTAAGTTATCGAAATTTCCAAAAAGCAATTCTAGTAGTTTGGACTTTTCTCGTTATGAATATATTTAGTTTAAAATTTTCGCTCAATAACTGGGGCGTCTATATGGGACCGCGTGAAAGCTGTTTTTGGAAATTTGCGACTGGGTGTGGAGGACTCTTAAGAAACCAGAGAGACCTTCGCCCAAACCCCGATTATAGTATGTTTTTAAAACACCCGTCTGGTGTAAAAACTGTTTATGATATGAGACTTGGTGCTCTTATCAGACAGAATTATGATTGGAGGTATTAATTAAATATTACTTTTGTTAAATAAATCTTTGATATAGCAATTCAATCGGTTAGCTTCAGAATTTGTTTTGAAAAATAGGTAAACAATAACAATATTTTAAATACGATTCCTCAACATACAAAACAACGCTTGACTTTGTTATTTTCCATAAATTGGGAAATAAGCGCATTTTTCGTTGTGATTTATATTGATTTAACTACAAACCTTCTCCTATTAGAGACTCCTCACACCCCCTATTACAAGAGATTGTAGAGCCCTATTTTTGCCCTACAGGCTCTCTCTAGGGGCCGTGCGGCGGTGCGGTATCGTAAAGGTTTTTGGCACCAACTGAACATTTTCTTTAGTCTCCCTATAATCTTTATTCTAATCCATTCGCATAGTAAAGAAAATTATCAACGTTTCTTTTTATCTCTTAAATGAAATTCCAAACAATCTAACGAAACTTAGGCTATTCACTTAACATTAGCGAATTTCCCATATAGGGAATGAGGTACAGTTACCGTAGGTCTCATGGTAAGACCTGGAGCCGGTACCGATTTACTTTTTCGTTTTGATGCCCTCAATGGCCAAAAACACCATCCGTCCAATATTACAAAAATATTATATTACTGATAATTTGTATTACCTAAATGTTGAATTTAGTATGTTTTTCTAACCAATAAATCCAATTCCAGGATTTGAGAATTTAAACCTCACAGAAAATAACCGTTAGAACTCCTGGAGTTATTCCTTATGTTAATCATGCCTAGTTTTATAATGTGTTTCCTCGTATTATAACTACAAAATTCAAATTGTTATGCAAAAGATTGTTGGGGTACTCGAACGCAATACACGCGCACTTTGATCTATTTTGCAACAAAAGTTAAATATATAAAACCATCCGTAAAAAAGTTGCTACGTATATAATGGTGTAAGCTAAACTAGAGGCTAGTTTGCACCACAAGAGACCCATGTTCTCGGGAAAGCAAGGACATTCTCAGAGAAAAGTGAGCAGTTCTAGGTTCTATTGATACCGAGATACAGTAGGGCCCAGATACCGTCGCTGCGCCGTCGTCTGTCGTCTGCTCGCGAACGGGTGTACGTACATATGACATGACGAAAACAACACAATCATGTCTACGGTGTTTATTATGGTATACTTTACGTACTTGCCAAGAGTAAGAGTCCAACAAGCTGTGAGTATGTTTAATCTATGATACAAGTTTCTTTAGGAAATAAGAGTGCAAGTTTCTCGTAGAAATCATTGCAATCGCAGTCGTCAATGAATGCAGCCGAGTTTTTCATTAATAATGTCTTAGTTATTCTGTATTTTACATTATCATGCAGTTTAATATTTTAATTGAATATACAGGCCTAGCTGACCTTTCAGGTTATGGGGTCCTGTGCGAGTCAGTTCAGAGAGAGTGTCCTTTATGTCTGCCTATTAATTAAATAATTGAAGCTAATTTCCCTATAGTGAAATAGCTACTACTGGAGTGTTTATGGTAAGACGGGTTAAGCTCACAAAACTTGAATAATAATAATTTCGTGGAATAATAGGGGTTCGGTTATTCCAAAATACAGTTGTGTAATTTTTATCTCCAGCACTAGATTTGAACCCTGAAATATCTGACGCAGGTTACAAACAGGGTTTAGGGAAAACTCATCCCTCATACAAAACCTGTAAAAGAGACACAACAATCATGCGAAGCGAAAACTACAGTAAAACAATTAGATTTGTATTTTCTCCATTCGTGGGTGATGCAGTTTTGATTGTTTTGTAACATTTTACATTTTTTTCTCTGCATGTTATACAGTTTTATTTATTTATTTCTGCATGGTGTGCTTTTTGGATGTTTTGCTTGTGAGTCAAGAGGAAATGCATCTCTATTTTTGTGGTTTTATTTTTAGTGACTATTTTTAGAGCCTTTTCAATACACTCCCGATTGAAATCAAGCATTGAACAATGCTCAGTTCAAGAGATTTGTATGACAGAGACTCTTGACAAACCCCCTATTGAGTGATAATGCGTTTCCGAGGGAACCTTGGACAGGAGCCTTCCACAATCCAAGATCTTATACATTCTTATACATTGACACTGCCTATCCAGATCATCTGGGCATTGGTGATTCAGCAGTAATTTATAAGCCAACATAGGTTCCAAGATCCATGTGTGAACCACGCTGTTGATAGGCAGCTCAATCTGTAGAGAAGAATTAAACAGTGATTAATATAATGGCCAGGGCTAGTTCGCTCTCGGGTTTTATATACAGATCCACAAGAAACTTCAGGTCGTCATATACACAAGTGATCCTATACAAATCCCTGGTTCGCCCCATCATAGAATATGGATCTGTAATATGGTCTCCGTATCAGGTTGGCCACATCCAAATGCTCACAAGATCGCTTTATAAGGATGCTTGGACCCAGGCTTGGCTTCAAATATTGGGACACCCCAATCCGGGAGCTTGAGGCACAGCTAGAGATTCAACCACTACACATTAGACGTATGATCTTTGATGCAGTCTTTCTATTCAATCTCATCAACTCCCTTATCGACTGCCCTGATCTATTGTCGAATATTGACCTTGCTGTACCTAGAGTGATTGTTCCAGAACCTCCTTCCAGCGTCGCTCCCAGACGACACTTTTCGTCTACCTCAGTCCAAATTGCATCGACTAGGGAGTCAAATTTCTACGCACATCGACTTCTTCTCTGGTTCAACTGCCTCCTTCAGAAGTCGGGTCGGCTCTGTGCTGAGCCAGAGTATGTGAAAGTTAATTTACCTTGGTGGTGCCACAAAAAATACAAAATTAAACAAGTGTCCTGTTTCTGCTATTGTTACTTTAGATTTCTTGCTGCTTATTATCTGTTTATGCTGTTTATCGCTGTTTCATATTTTTATTCACTGTTATTCATTATTGTTGTTGTTTTGTATTTATTGTTGGTTGTTATTTCATGTTTTTATCATCTCTGTTTTACTCTGCCTCTCTATTCTTAATCTCCTTTCTTGTTACACATTGTGATTTCTTGTTTGTTATATCCTTTTTGTTTTCAAATTCTAGTTCTATTCTGCTTGATATTATTGTTACTCATAAGACTGAATTATTGCCTGTATCATAAATGTATTTATTATTATTGTATAAATGGTGTTTACCGTTGAAATAAATGACATGAAACATTCCTGCAGTGTTGTTGGGTTTATTGGGGTTAAAGTTGATCATTGGGTTCGCATCTTAAGTCATTCTTCTTGGGTTTTCATCAGGCTGGTCAAGTTCAGGAGGTTTCCTTGGGATGGGCAAGGACTACGACTACCCCTTCTGACAATGGTACTTTATCTATCAGTTGAGCTGTCGATCTTGCTTTAGTGTATAAAAAATATTTTTGAGATATGTCTTTATAAAAATGTAACAAACATTTTGATTTATTCTTAAAACCTTTAATTGCTACATTTTAGTAATTAGGTATAAGCATGTATAAGTAGGTTTCACAAATCCTCAAACAAATTAAATCTGTAAAAAAAGGAGAGTTTAATTTCCTTAGTAAAATTTCACCAGATAATTTATCTAAATTAGTTATTTATAGTAAGATTTCCTTATGTTGTATTATGTTTTAACTATAGAGGGAAGGCTACTCGGTTATCCCTCAACATGTGAGTTCCGAGGGGTTATACATTCATGCACTCTAAGCCTTGCATGTTGGCTGGTCGGGGGCACGTTGACGGGGGGCTGCGGAGGGGATCTGCTCTCTGATTGGCTCTTCACCTGCTGTGTTACGCCACATCCCCCCCACCACTTGCGACAGCAGCCTCTTAGACGGTGGGGACTTCATCACCACCCCCCTCCACAAGTAGGTAAGCACACAGTATCCTAATGATTACCAAAAGAAAAAAATGTACTTAAAAATTGGTTGATTCTTATTAACCTTACATATTTCAGAACAGTGGTTCCCAAACTGGTAAATATACCACTAGTGGTACATGGTGATATTTAAAGCATTGGTGATGGTGGTGTCCTTATATAATATATATTGCCCAAGGATTTTGGGCTGGTGCATCACCAGGTATGCATAACCCCATAGGTAACTACTGTAGCTAAAATGTAAAATTTGTATATTCCACAACACAAGATAATATTGTAAGTGAAACTTAAAACTAAGCGATTCACTTGAAATGCATAGCACTCAAAGTATTATGAGCTAAATAATCTCTTATGTGTGGTGCTCAATACGGAACGGTTCATACTACGATTGGGAAATGGGTTAATTAAGCTGGCAAAACTGTAAATAGTAAAAATATTATATACTACATAATTATATCTACTTGAATTAGTGATACATTAGGAAAAGAGGTTGGGAAACAATGTTCCAGAGCAAAGGATGTATAAAGAAAATAATGGGGAATCCAATATAGTACATTTAACTTTTCTTTTAAATTAAACAATTTAAATTTAAAATTAATTTTAAAATACAGTAATTTATAATTTTATATAAACTAAATGTACTGTACTTTAGACCTAAACAAAATTATATACTGTACAATTTTTTTAATTATTGAAAAGAAAATGAACCGTAAAAATGTTAATGGCATTTTCAATTTAATAAGTTTTTTTTTTAATTTTTTAGGTTTTTTTTGTTTGAAGTAAAAAATGTAGACACCTTTAAATCTTGTTTGAGTTTAAAATCTTATAATATAATAAATCTGAGTTAATGACGTAAAACGTATTTTCGTTGTCTGGGTGGCCGAGTGGTTACAGTGCTCGCCTTCAAATCAGAAGGATGCTGTTTCAATCCTAAGCAGAGCCGTTTCTGAACCTAGCATTGAGCACATAATATTCATGAATACTATGTGCTCTTTGGAACCTAGATGCCATTAGTTGTTGAGTTATCAACAATATATAAACAACACCAGAATTTAGAATATGTTCTCTTATAATAAACGTAAAAAAAGCCAATGCCATTAGTTTACACAAAATAAAAATAAAATAAAATTATGAGCTTGATTTACTATTTCTAAGTCGTCACACAGATTGAATGCAGATTCCCCCATTCCTCGAGTACAGACATTTAATCATATTGGGGAAACAATTATTCATACATTTAATGTCTTTAATTCTAGTTAGTTAAAAAAAAAAAAATTTTTAAATTTTTTGAGTACATCCCAGATACCCGTATCTAAAGTCACTACAGCATTGTGGAATTGAGTGTTGCTTACTTGGATCTATAAAAATTGAATCATTCACAGGTTAGGTTTTTTCCAGAATGTGGGACGCCTGTTGCGGGAATTCAAAAGAGAATTATCGGAGGTGCTGAGGCAAACTTTGGAGAGTTTCCATGGCAAGCTCATATACGTATCTCAGGCTATCAGTGTGGAGGAGTGCTGGTTAACTCTAGATATGTGGCTACTGCAGCTCACTGTATATACAGGTGATGTATCAACTATATTTAGTACATTTGTTTTCCAGAAAAATCCATGATTATGTCAGAAAACTTATCAAAGGATTTTTTCATGTGATACATAATGTATATTCATGGTCATAGTTAATCCGAATTTTAAACTTTTATACATCTGACACTGAAAATCAAAGGAGAGAAAAAAAACAACTTTTTTCTCAGTCTGTAGGGGAACCTATTATTGTTTCTGATGAGCTGTCCAAATCCACCAGAAAATCAAATACAGTAGAGTCCCACAAACTCGGCACTCGATAACCCGGCAGTCTGGATAACTCGGCCATCACCTGGCTCAGAAATTTAGTAATATTTTGAGTCCAAGTTAAACATGGACTCAAGCCAGCTCAAGTAAAATCATTCACAACTCGTACCAAGGATATTTTGTACTATATCTGATGACTAAATACTGACTTGTAATATAAAAAAAGGAGGTTAAAGAGCTTAAAAATTATATTGTCCTTATTTTTAAGCCTAGTTCCTGATAACCTGGCATTTCACAAACTCGGCATCCTTCCAGTCCACATTACGCCGAGTTTGCGGGATTCTACTGTAGTAGATTTTAACTGAAGCTAGTATAAAATAGATTAATTAGACAGTAACTAGTTTTTTTAACCAGGCTAATGAACACGTCATCATGTAACTGATCTATCCTTGGGCTATCTCTTAGAAATTGTATTAACCCTTCCAAGACTATAGACGGATATATAGCATTTTGTGCATGGCGGATGTTAGGCCATAAAACATAGCCATAAGCAGATGTATCTGCTTATCTCATTGGGCCCCGCAGAAGGTAGGAGGAAATATACGACATTTATTGTTATAGTTTATTGTCTATAAAATCATTAATCTTTATAAAATCGCCCTTTCATTCAATTACATCTTTAACCTCCTATGTACTAGAAATGTTTTTCTAACAAAATAGGAAAAAAATTTTTGCAAAACAAATTTTTGAAAAAAATTTAAAAAAGTTAAAACATTGTTTTTTGACAAAAGTGCTGCAGAGGTCAACTATTTACAACATATTATAAATTAAAATTATAGATATAAAACAGATATTTCGTAGTTTTTATTTAAATAAAATGATCTTGTTGTCTGTACATATTACAGGCCAAATATTACAGGCCGTCTGGAAAGGGTTAATAGTGTCTATTAAAATGCTAACAAAAATAAATGTAATAATTTTACAGGCTAAACAACTGTTTTATAAGTTTATAAAACTTCATGTTAATAGTGTATGCGAAAAGGTATAATCTTTCCACTGAACTGATCAAATAACTAAACTAAAACTAAATTTAACTAGTTTATTTAAGATCCTTTCCATCAGACATAGCTCTTAAAAAGCAATTGTTAATAGTGATCCATTTATTATAAAAATCTTATATTATTATACAAATTTTCCAAGAAATTTCCCGACAAGCTGAGACAATGGCTTATGATTGGATCTCGACAAATAAACTATCTTGTAATTTGGAAAAACACAATATATAACATTGAGTTTAAAAAGAGAAGTCAATATGGAATGGGTCAAGCTTTTAGGAATAAATATTGATCAAAATGATACTGAAAATTTCAAGGGTGACTTGCCTGCTTTGGAAACTCAAAAGTTATGTTAGTCCTGATTATTTGAGACTGACATACTTTGGCCTCTTTCAGGCACATGTAATATGTGGATTGCTTGCATGGGGTCACTCACCACATGTTAATGACATCCTATAGCTTAAAAAGAAACTATTCGTAATATGGCAGGAGTCGATCACGTAGCACACTGTAAGCAACTTTTTGTAGAGTTGAAAATTCCTACAGTATTCAATCTATACATCTTTCAAGTTCTGGTTTATGCTAAAACTAACTGTTAAATATGTTTTGTATTAGGCAAAATATTCATAATCACTATACCAGGGGGAGAGGGAACTTGGATATAGTACCACATAGTCTTACCAAAACTAAAACTTCTTTTAAACTAAATTGCATTTACTTTTTCAATAAGCTGCCTGAGAATGCAAGAGAGGTTAGTTTAAACAGGTTTAAATCTGTATTGTACACCTGGCTGGTAGAAAATCCCTTTTATAAACTTTTTTAAACACAGAGTTTTTTTTTTAACACAAGTTTGTATTTCTTTTTAATGCATTAATGGCTTGTTTTATTTTTATTTGTTATATGTTACATTTGTATAACATACCAAATTGACTTGTCTTATTTCTGTACAAACAGATCAATGGAAATAAAATATTCTTATTCGTATCCTTTCCATCAGACATAGCTCTTTAAAAGCAATTGTTAATAGTGATCCAATTATTATAAAAATCTTTTAGCTAAACAAACATTTTCAAACTTAAACCGATGAGTTGAAAGCATTTTACCAGGATCATCAAGGTAAAATAAAAAATTAAAACTATGTACAAAAAAAATCTTGTACCTAATACAGTACAGAATATTTTAGTGACTAACCATCTGAATGAACATATTTTTGCTATCAACAGGGCAAGAGTGAAGGACATAATGGTGTACCTTGGAGAGTTCGACACTCAGAACACTGGCCAATATTTTGAGCCAGTCCCGGAGGAGGCATATCGGGTGATCAAGAAAATCATTCATCCAAAGTTCCAATATCGTTTGTCTCAGCCTGACAGGTAGGTTGTCATTAAATTTGCATACAACTATAAAAAAAGATTAAAATAGAACCAAATGTGTGGTATTTGTTTCAGTAACCTGAATAGCACACATAGGGCATTCCTCTTAATCCTTGTAGGGTGCATCCCTTTAGTAAAATCATCATAAAAATGGCTTAACTTTCATATTTTTGACCTGAATAGTGATTACACCAAATCTCAGCCTACTAGCTAGTCTGGTCTGGAAGTTGGAGAACTAGTGATGAATCAGTGAGTGAGTCAGTCAATGAGTGACTGAGGGCTTTGACTTTTATATGTTTGGATTACAGAGGGTAGGTAAAAATAGGGTTATAGCTAAACCCAAGTGCTAGCTAGTATGTGTAGGGACTGTGCTTTCATTTGTGTCTTGTGTCTTACAAATTACTAATTACTAATCATAAAACACATAGAAATCTTAAAAAATGTGTAAAGAAAATTGTGAATATTACAGATATGACGTAGCCCTTCTTAGACTAGCAAGGCCTACAGTCTACCGAGACAACATTCTTCCTATCTGTCTGCCGCAACGGGGAGAAACTTTTAGTGGTGAAACTGGCGTGGTCGCTGGATGGGGTAAAACTGACACCACTTATGGTATGTTAAAACTTCATTGGCGATAGTTTAAACATAGCAAAGGTTTTTGTGTCAAGGAAACAGGATTAAAGGTATAGATTGAAGATAACCAACAAATTCAGTATAAATACAGTAACAAATGTGTAGGTTTTTAAATAACATATTCAATTGTAACTCTTTGAAACATTCTTTCTTTCTGTTCTAACAATAGTGGTAACAAGGAAAAAAAATTAGAGAGGAAACATTTTTATGGTAGTAGTACCACCTCAGATTTGGATGATATTGACTGGTAGTTGAACTTAAAATACTAAAATGTCTAAGTTGGCTAGACCAGGCAATTGTATAACCAGATTCTTGCCTTTCACATTTTTTTCTGCCAAATTTGTTTGACTATTTAAAAAAATAACAACCTTCCACAAATAGTACTTCCCTCTAGATTCTGAGTTCTAAATTGTTTGAATTTGTGCACTTTTTCTGGGCAGTTTTTGTAGCAATCAAATTAATTTAAACTGGATATTATGATTTTTTAATATGTTGACATATATAGGTTTCTCTTGAAAACTTCAAGAAACTTGTTGTGATGTCCAAAAATCATTCCCTGGTTAGTCTTTAAAACAAACAAATAAAAGTAAAACTTGAAATGTCTCTAACTCTAAATATTTTTTTACAGGTAAAACAGGGACCAATATTTTACAAAAGGCCTTTGTTCCAATTCTCTCAGATGAAAAATGTGTCATATGGCACAAGCATAAGAGGATCAAGGTTGAGCTTCATGAAGAAATGTTCTGTGCTGGCCACAGCGATGGCCATATGGATGCCTGTTTGGTACGTAGTATTGTACTTCCACAAGACTACTGAAGTAGAGAAAAAGTAATGAGGGTATATTTTGAGAAAACATCACTTATGCTCATGATACTTTAGACTTATCATCCTCACTTTCCGATTTATTTTAAATACACATAATGTTTAGCCTCTGTGCCACAAGTAGTTTGTCTTTTCATGAAGTCATCTTCAAGCCATCATCTTGAAGGATGTCATAATCGCTTCATCAGGATTATATTAGCAGAAAGTTCAATTTAACATGTAAACAGACAGACAAGAACACAAACGTTAAAACTAAAACCAGACTTTAGAACGATGAACCTATTTTGCTATGTTGAAACAAGTAAATGGCAGCAAGAATGGTATCAGGGACTGATAAGACACCACCAGATTGATGTAGAGTACAAATCAAAAACTAAACATTTTTAATATTAATGGGTAATTACCTGTTATTTAAAGTATTACTGCGGAAATTTTCCATCTTGATAAGGAAAAAGTTATTTGTGTAACTAGTGGTGAAAGTGGCACTTTGCTGCACACGAGAGCAATGTTTACTCACGAGCCGCAGGCGAGTGCGGAATGATCTCGAGTGCAGCAAAGGCCTTTTTCACTCCTGTTACACATTATATTTTTCCTACAGTCACTATAAAGCATATAAATAATTAGTATTTCAAACACTATACAACACGTTTTTAGGTTCAGCTGGGAACAGAAATGGTGTCCTAGAGAAAGTAGTACCCGCGGTCCGTATCACTCCGCTATTTTTCCTCGGCAAGAAATGTACTCCGCGTTTTGAGAATATAGTTCCGTATGTTTTTGTAATTTGAAGTGGTTTCCGTGCCTAAAAAAATGCTTTAAAGGTATTTTCTTGTTTGGAATGTTTTAAAAACGTTTAAAAGAAAAGTCCAGAAAGTTCAGAAATACCGAAACTATAAACACGAAATGACAGGTTAAATCGTAGTTATAATAGTCAATCAGCTGCTCATTGTATTATTATCTTTAAGTGTTGCCAACCTATTTCCAAGCGTACACGGATTACATGCATAATAGAACCACGCTGTTTTGTGTTGTTTCGTTGGAATCCTGATGTGCGGCAAAGTATAAACCGTACGACAAAGTATAAACTGTACGGCAAAGTATAAATATGCAGCAATTAGCAGCTTTCTGTACTATAAACAGTACAAGGAGGCCAACTTTGTCGGGTGACTGTAGGAAAAATAATTTTTAGATTTATTTAAACCCCTGTTGTTTTGTTAAGTGATTGTTATAAATTTTTCAAATTCTTCACTCAAGTAGAATGGCCCTTAAATGTTGTTTTATAATATGACTAGATTGGGTAGTAGATGGTGATGGTATGTAATGTGTGTGTATATGCTTTTAATGACTTCTCTGAGTTTCACTGTAAGTGACAGCCTAGTGACATATTTTGTTTAGCATAGCCTCTTGAAGCGCCTGCTCTAATCCTATTGTGATTTCTACCTTTGGTGGTTCATGAATAACTGTGATTTTCTACTAAGCTCTCCCAATTAAGAAACAGGGCAGATGTAGCTGTTGTAACAGTTATTCAAGAAATTGTGTCTAGGATCGTATGAACCACTGGTAGCGGCTAAACATCACAACAAGACTAGACTAAACAGAGATGGAAACTGGCAGATATTACAAGTAATGGTAGTTGTAAAATGTTGTGGGCTTTGGGGCAAGACTGTATCATTTTAAAGGTAATACTGATGTAGTGCTTCATTACTGCTCTGAAAATAGCAATCTGCAACAAGGCCAAACGTCAGCTCAATTCAGCATTACTATGACACAGTTTCACCTTGAACACCACCATATTGTAGTCAAGTGTGATTGTAGAAGTTTGATGTTGCAGGGAGACTCTGGGGGACCTCTGGTAGTGTATCACAAGACAAGACAGCGGTGGACACTGGCAGGCATCACAAGCGCAGGAACAGTTTCACCTTGAACACCACCATATTGTAGTCAAGTGTGATTGTGGAAGTTTGATGTTGCAGGGAGACTCTGGGGGGCCTCTGGTAGTGTATCACAAGACAAGACAGCGGTGGACACTGGCAGGCATCACAAGCGCAGGATTTGGTTGTGCCGTGGACCATCAACCAGGAATATACCACAAAGTAACCCACACCACCGACTGGATTGCCAACAAAATCAACAATTAAGATGTCATCCTACATTCTAACGACATCCTAAGCCAAAGTATTGATTTTAAAATAAATGTAGTAACTATTTATTTTACTTAAATATTAATGTTATTTTTTAATAAATATTTGTTACTGTGATTTAAAATGTTGGTATTATTTTTTCCTTACATGTTAATAACATTTGATGGTTCTCTACAAAAGCTTTTCTTTATGGTTGAAATCAATCCATAAAGAGTGTCATATTAATTTGAAACTTAAACACATTTATTAAGCAACTGTAATATTTTTGTTTTAACTGGTCCAGCAGAAAATATTAAAAAAATATGTGTATATTGTATAAAGGGGGCTGTACTAAACAATAAAACAAATTATAACAAAACACAATACAGAAGATGTTTGGATTGAAATTTTTATAGTGATAGAAGCATGAAATGTACAAAAAATAAATTATGAGCAAATTTAATATGGTTGTGAACTGATGGATAACATACACAAAATAATGAATAGAATAACATTAATGAGTACCTTATTATTTGTAATAGTTTTAAACAGTGGTATAGTGAAACGGGAACACGCTCCCACTCTGTTTTTTTCAAAGAACCTATTTATATACAGGCAACATTATTTTTCCTCAATGGTGAATCAAGAATCAGGAGCTTTATTGTCATTGACCTTTTTACAAGGAATAAACATAGTTAACAGGTGAGCGCTTCCGCATTGGATAATTTACGACCACACCACCGGTTTTAAAATTTATATTATTGCAAAAACAAAAATGTCTACTATGATGACAGGTTTTTTTTATCTAAATTTAAATTAATCGAAATAATCATTGTAATAATGAAGTTGAAATCACAACTATATAGCATTATGTCAACAACCTCTTCTTTTCAAACATGGCTAACTGTAATTTAAGACTAATTTACTACTCAAGCACATACATTGGGAAAACATGATAAGTAAGTAGAAATTCTCATAAATTTATAATAAAATTACTTACATATCTTATCAAAAAGAATCACTTAACAAATATAAAATAAATTGATTAAACATCTTCATTGAGTGCACAAAATATGTTCTACATTAAACACAGATAATAAACAGTGACAAAACATAGTATTTAAGACAGAAGTAAGCAATCTTAACTTAATTTCCCATGAACACAATCAATAACCATAGTAAGAGATAGGGGAGTTATCTGAGAGTGGACATTGGTCAGATACAACTAGACATGGCTCCGGGCCTACTGACCGTCTACATCGTAGCATTCACATTTATATCACCACTGTTCTGCCATGGTAAGTAATCCTACATACTTTACTAAATAAAATCAAAATATTCAACTGTAGTGAATAATCCATGGTGAAAATATAACTAGAAATAACCACTACTTTTAAATTCAGAGGTAAAATTAGTAATTTTAAAGCAAACAATAATAATAGACTTTGTATGAAATTTTAGGAAGTCGTATTTGCTTTGAAGTAAAATTAGGTGGTCAAATAAATAAACTGAGAAATTCAGTGAACCTTGCTTTTACCATCCTATAATGATAATGATATTAGGCAATCGGTATGACTCATCAATCTGTGCCTCAGCTAATGAGTTAATTGATCAACCTCTTAAGCAATGAGTGTTCATTAGAGATCAAATTCCTTATCTGCTATTTATAACAGCAAACTGAAGGTTTTAGTAGACAATATTTTGGATTTTGAGTGCTATACCAAGTGCAAAATTTTTTTAATGCGCAACATACTGGTATTATCAATCTATTTTTAGAGGGATGGGCCTTAAGAACTTTTTTAGGTAAAATGAAACTGTTATTGAATTACAAGAGTTTGCTATGGTCAAGTGTAGTTTTCTACTAATATTTCTGATAGTGATGTAGTAAAAACCATCGATGTATATAGTCTAACTGGATCACACTCAGCTGGTAAGCGAAAAAAGTCCAGCGCCACACAGCGGTGTGGCAACGGAGCGACCCCACAGCATCGAAGTAGCATTGTAACTGCTAACATAGACCAAATAATAGCTTAGAGAATACACTAAATAGAACAAAATACATATACAATATCAAACACTAAGAAGAAAATTGATTTACAGTAGAATGTTTTGTCAATAAAGCGTACGTTAAAAAGTGTGATATGTCGGCCGTTACAATGCTACTTCAATGCTTTGGGGCCGCTCTGTTGTCCACAAGCAGCGCGGCGGCCACCATTTTCAGCGTTGTATTCTAGTGCCAGGGCACGGTGTAGTTAGACTAAATACATCGATGGTAAAAACAAGGACCATTTTAATCATCCGTCATATGTTTGACTCAGATAGCTCTCTCTAGCTAGCTAATAAACTCTTTTTTACAGTACCAACAACTTTTTAATATTACTGTCATATCATAAATCAACAATTCTATATGTTGCATGACTTTGTATACATGCATTGTAGACTGTCATCAATATATCTAAGCTTTCAATTAACCTAAGTTGCCTTACTGAAAGGTACCTTTAGATATTTTCTTACACAGACGTAAAATATGACTGTACCATTTAATATTACGTTGCAACATCAAACCAAGAAATTTAACATCTTCAGTAACCACATAATCACTTAGACTAAATTTGAGAACTTGTGTTTTAATTTTGTTTAAACACAACACAAGCAATTAGCTGCAGTCCAATCTTCAATTGTTTCATTTGATTGATCTAAAAGTCGGTCAACTAGTCTAGCATTGTGACAACAATATCTGGATTGCCAAGTCATCTGCATACATGTAAGATGACACACATACATTTGTGAGAGATGCTGGTAAGTTTGCATTAACATAAACAATAAACATTGTAGGTCCAAAAATTGACCCTTAACAATAATCCTTGGGCACTGAGTCTTATGTCTGATGAAAGTTGAGAAGGTTCTTCTAAACTTCAAATTGCATAGTAATCAAACAAATACTCTTAAAATAGAGCTTGTTAATAGTCTCTTTCAATCTGAAACACTTAAAACATCATCTTGATTATTTTCATCAGGCCTATCAACAGTTTCTCCAGTCACTATCATCATCATCCGTTGTAGTTGTGTTGTAAGCCACTGGAAAACATCTTTGTTGATATCTAGGTGAATCTTTGAAATGTGATCTTTTATCTTTAGTAAATCTTCAAGTTTTAACTTCTTTTTTGGCACAAATCCTAGCTGGCTGTGTTGGCGGAAAAACAAGCTTAGATTTTCCCACTGTGAAGTTATGACACATCACACATTCAATAGTTGGAATTACCTTTACACTTCCTTTATTAGAAGAGTCATAGGCCTACTCAAAATGGTAGCCTACAATGTACTTCTTTGGAAGAACACTGTGCATTTTCCATGTGCTCCATTTTTTATAAGCATGAAACGATAAAACATTTGTTGTTTAATTCCACAACTGGTTGAACCGACAGCAACAATCCTTAATCCCTTTAAATATTATAAAGGTTGATTACATTGTTGATGTTCCAGCTGATTTAGAGCCGACCTTCCAACACTGTTGTCAGCTGGGCACTACAGTAGCGGCTCAGAGCCAGAAATGTGACGAGACAACCTCAGGTACCCCAGTACAGGGGATTCCTGCAGAGCAACAAAGTATCTGTCTCTCTACCATGCAGCTTTGTTGTGCTCAAACACTCAGGTACTTAAAATATAATTCTAGAAATTTACTATAAATTAAATGAATAAATGTCCATACATTTTTAAGTTTTATTCTTAATGGTAGGTAAGAGTGCAACGTTATTAAAGGATGTAATATTTCCTTAAAGACATTTAGATTATAGACTAGTAAACAATCATTCAATATTATATCTTATACATTTCTGTGTACTGTTACCAATACCATGCTACTTCTAAAATTGAACATACTTTAACTTCTATAATTGAAAAATTAAACCTATCTTCATTAAATCAAATGTACACAATACGTAAACCGTCAATACTTTGTAGTATATTAGATGTTATATTAATCGGATAAATCTTTCTCATATGAGTCAACTGAGCAAAATTAATTGGACTCCAAACCGCCATGCAGATAATTGAGGCAAAAAGTTAATGGAAAATGTAAAATTACTGAAGTTCCTGACACGATTGAGCCCCAACTATACTAAACCATATTTTTTGCAATGCTGGAAAAATATTTCATTTTATTAATAAAAGCATCTAAAAACATTTGGCAGACTTATTAACATAAACAACTAAACCAAAAATTAAAACTGTAGTAAAATGTTGGAAATGGTAATTTAGTACTGTAATAATTTCTTGTTCCAATTGTATATACGTGACATGTGTCAACAATTTAATAACTATAATTGTTTTAAAGAGATATCCAGTGTAAAGAAGGAAAACAAGCAGCAACAAGGGGAAATAGCTGTCACACCTTCAAATATGAGGACAGTAAGGTATTATGACTTTATTTATGTTGTTTCTTGTCTCCTGATCACAATAAAAATTAATACTAGAAGTTAAAATAGCTTTTAATCTGTCAGTGTGATCACGTCAAAAACAAATCGACTGTGCGGCGTACGTTACATGTACATTGATTTACAAGTCCAGACTCAATGTAATTGTACCGTCCGCCTCAAAGTCGTTTTTTGGCCACCTGTGTTTTTGTAAAAATGTATTTAAGTGTAGGTGTTCTTCGTTATATATTTATGGACTTTCTGACGACCTCTTTGACGTTTTGTAAAGTTTGCATTATATATTTAGTGTATTTTTTTTGCATTGTCTTCTTGAAGTTCCAGTGAATAGTGAACCTTTTAATGATGATATTATTATTGATGCTCTTTTCACTCTCCACTTCATTTGCAGTATCTATTTTAACCTAAGGGGATTGCGTGTACGACCCTAATGATACAAAGTTACATTGTATACTGGAGAATGACTGTAATATAGTAGATTTATAACTCCTATTTAATTCTATAAATTTTTTTTTTAAGAAATCTTTATTGTTTTTTCATACAACAACAAACACAAAAATACACACATGAAAAAAAGAAAAAAGCAATAACCACCTTAGGTTAAAAACCTATGTTGGTG